CCTTTTTTTTTTTTTTTTTTTTTTTTTAATATTCACTTATGCCTTTCGTTGTGGCCCGCGGGATCTTTTTAGTTGCCACATGCAAGGTCTTAGTTGCAGCATGCGGGATCTAGTTCCCCGACCAGGGATCGAACCCGGGCCCCCTGCATCGGGAGCGCAGAGTCTTACCCACTGGACCACCAGGGAAGTCCCTGTGTCCCCTCTTCTTATAAGGACATCAGTCACGTGGGTTAGGGGCCACCCTACACAAATGTGACCTCATATGAACCCAGCCAGTACATCTGCAACAACCCTACTTCCAAATAAGGTCTTATTCCAAAATACTTGGGAGCCGCCACTCAGCCCATAACAGGGTGTGACGGGGCATTCTTTGGGCTCTGGAAAGGCTGAGCCTTCCTGGAACAGGAGGGCTCTGGGTGTGTCTCCCTCTGCTGGGCAAGCAGCCTTACGGGTGTGAATAACTCAGGCGTGGTGGGCGCGTGTGGCTCCCCTGCGGGTGGAATCTCTTAAGACCAGAGCACAGATGGGGCCCCAACTTTAATAACAAATTTTTTTTCTCTCTAAATTTATTTTGAAAAACTTCAATCTGGTGGAAAACTCACAAGAACCATACAATGAACTCATACTTGACCTAGACCAGGGATCCCCAACTTTTTCCTGTACAGGGCCATATAGTAAATATCTTCAGCTTTGTGGGCTAGACTGTCTCTGTCGTGACTATCAGCTCTGTAGCGTGAAAGCTGCTATAGACAGCACTTAAAGGAATGGGCATGGCCGTGTACCAATAAAACTTTATTTACAAAAATGGGAAGCAGAGGGCCGGATTTGATCCTCAGGGCTATGGTTTGCTGACCCTGACCTAGATTCATCAGTGTTACCATTTTGCCACAATTTGTTTCTCCTCTTCTCTCTGTGTTCGGATTTGCTCTACTGTTCAAGGGGCAGATTTCCTTATCCTTTGCCCCTTAAACCCTTCAGACCTTTATCTCCCACAAGCCACGGTATTCTCTTCCACAGCCGCGGTGCAGTTTCTAAAGTCAGGAAATGTAAAAACCACAGACGCGACTATTCTCCCCAATCTGTGTTCCCAGCGCTCCCTCCCATTGTTGTTGTTTTTCCCCTGGTGCAGGGTCCAACCCAGGGCGGCACTCTGCATGCCACTGTCCCATCTCTTTAGTCTCCTTTACCTGGAGCACTTCCCGACCTTTCTCTGTTTTCCAAGCTGTGGACCTTTTGAAGCAGCCAGGCCAGCTGTTTTGTGGGAGGCCCCCTCTGCCCCCACCGTGCTGGGTTTGCCGGATGTCCCCTCATGCTTAGATTCTGGTCATGTGGCCCCCGCTTTCCTGGGAGAACAGCTGCCTGCAAAAAGCAAGAACCACCCAGGTGGGGCCGCAGGGTAGGCACCTGGGAGCAGGCAGGGAGCTGACCCCTTCCTCTCCTGACACAGGCAGTACGTCCGGGACACCGTCGTGGGCAGCATGGGCCTGAGGGCCACCGGCCGGCTCTGCACCGTGGCCAAGTCAAGGGGGCTGCGGGCCTGCAGGTAAGCGGCCCCTCCCCACGCCCTGGACCCCAGGGGAGGCGGCCAGTGTCCCTGCTGACTCCCTCACTCTCCGTACAGGGGGGAGCTGAGAGATACTATTCTGGACTGGGAAGACTCCCTGCCTGACCGGGACCTCACTCTGGCCGATGAGGCCAGCAGGTCTGACCCCCACCGAGCTCAGGGTGGGGTGGGTAGGGGAGGGGCAGAAACACAGCCAGCTGCAACCCCAGGGACATCAGGAAAGAGGTGGCCCACACCCTCTCTGGGCTTCGCTTACCCCGTAACGATGGCAGCTCCCGTGTACTGAGCCCTCATACCCCCGGCCCCGGCCAGAGGCCTCACACACCATCCTCACCACAGCCCAGGGTGGGTGCTGCTCGGGGCCCATTTTACAGACGAGGAAACAGGGGCTGGAGCAAGCTGACACCTCCGTGCACACTGCCCAGCCAGAAAGTGACTGAGCCAGGTCTGGAACCCAGGGGTCCAAGTGGGGACATCAGCAGCTCCACTTCTGCCGATGGGGTGGGGTGGCTCCGGCAGAAGGGAAGCGGCGGGCAGGATTCAGGGCAGCTTGGAAGCTGGGGCAAGCCGGCCCCCAGGCAGAGATGGGCACTGTGTGAGCTGGCCTCCCAGGGCTGGCCCCGGCGTGTCAGCAGAGCAGTGAAGTCATGGCATTTGAGCAAGGGTGGGGTGGTGTGTGTGTTGGAGACGTCCTGCCCCCAGCCTCGTGGGGCAGGAGGAGGGCTACAGAGACCCTTGCCGAGGGGCTCAGGCTATTCCCGCCTCCTGGCCCCAGGAACGCGGACCTGTCCATCACGCTGGGCACCTCCCTGCAAATCCGGCCCAGCGGGAACCTGCCCCTCGCCACCAAACGCCACGGAGGCCGGCTGGTCATCGTCAATCTTCAGCCCACCAAGCACGTACGTGCTGGAGCCCACCCCTGACACCCCAGGCCCCCCCAAGCCTTCTCCCTCCGCCTGACCAGTCCCCGCCCCCCACAGGACCGTCACGCAGACCTGCGTATCCACGGCTATGTAGATGAAGTCATGACCCGGCTCATGAAGCATCTGGGCCTGGAGATCCCGGCCTGGGACGGCCCCCGCGTGCTGGAGAGGGCGCTGCCACCCCTGCCCCGCCCGCCCACCCCCAAGCTGGAGCCCAAGGAGGAGG